ACCCTCAAACTCCCAGGCCTCTGGTAGAGAACCTGAGATTGAGGAAGACACATACCACCCAAGGGGTGAGAGGGGATTTTATATATCACACATTAATAAAGGAAAAATAGATAAATGAAACAGGTTTAAGAATTAAAATACTAAAAAAGAGAAAAAGATAAAAAAGATAAAGATAAAAAAAACTAAATGAAGCAAATTTAACAAGGATTAAAATACTAAGAGAGAGAAAAAGTGAAAGAAAGATAAAGATGAAAAAAGAACTATTGAATTTCTGACTTTCCCCTTTTTATATATCTGCTGCCTTACAATATCTGTAGACATTTAGGCCCCCTTAGAAGCAGTTCTGTAAGTGATTATATTTGCCATGCTGTGTGATGCATTGTATGTATGGGAACCATTCTTGCTTAAATTTGGTTAAACTTCTATTGTGTATATATACTGTTAGTTTTGCTATTGCTGCGTATTTTTCAAGTTTCAGGTTTCAGTTCCCAATCAAATATTGTCAGAATTGGCCCTTTGTTTATGTGTATTGTGATACATGATAAAAGGGATAGGGTTTCAGCTGCATGGTCACATCATCTGGGCTTCTTACCTCCCTTGTGGATGCCTGTTAGAGTCATTACAGATGCATCTTTTCCAGGATTAGATGTGAGGTTCACTGGCTTCCATGGAAGATGCACAGTGCTCAATCCATTGCCAAAAAGGAAATCCACATCAAACAAGCTGGAACTGATAGCAGTGTTCTTGACAATATGACTTTTTGAGACTATAGTGAAGGAGAGGTTATTCATATCAATTCAGGCAGAACCATTATGACATGGTATCCACATTGCCACAAAGAAGGTGGCACGAAAATGGCCTCCTTATTTCTCACTCTCCAGCTGTGGGAGTGGAACATAGATAATGACTGTTACAGATCATGAGATTCCTTCGGCTATATATAGGACTCACTTTAGCTGTATAGAAATCTCCCCTAAAGGGCATTAAAATCAAGTGTGACCATAGCTCTCTGATGTTGTTGGAAATATTTGAGCATTGACCTTTTTTGCCACTGCAAACAACAAGAAATATCAGTCTTCCCCCCATGGTACAGATGTCTTCTGCATTTAGTTCCCCTAATGACTAATGTGATTGCCAATATCTAGAATAAATAGCAATATCTTAGCAACTCTGGTTTGTTCTAACCCTTCTTCTGTTGGGATGGAAATATATTCCATAGCCTCGTCCATCTATCTGACACTCGGGCTTCTCATCCCTCGGACTGATGACCTGGCACATTTGGCCCCAGCTGATTTGCTTCAGAAATAGCACAGGTTCTCCAAGCATCATTCAAATCCTCCACAAAGAAATCATGCAGTTCAGAGTGAGATAAGTTCAGGATTTTGTAAGCAAAGAGACTTTCAGGCTTGGAGAATGGTGGCATTTTGTTTACAGAAGAAAAATTCTTTCTCAAGGTGTCTTTATTTCTTTTGAGGATGTAAGTAAGAGAAGCCTGGCCTTAGTTCAGCACTTCCCCAAGTGGATATTTTCTAAGGCTGTGAAAAAATTGATTCAGAAATATGATTTAAAGATGAAATCAGAGTGAAGCAGGTGCTTCCAATTCCATTATTTGGATGCTGTGGACATGCTTTTTTCTGACTCAGTTCAGACATCTGGATCAAAACAATGGGATTCAACAAAAATCTAAATTGATTTTCTAAAAACTGTAATAGTCAAACAGTTGATTTTTCTAAATGACTTAACAATTTGAATTGGATTTTGTCTGATTAATGCAGGAATATATTGATGAAGGATTATCCAGATCTTCTAGAGTTCCATGATCCCTGAAACCAATGTGCCAGCGCAAGTAATGCGTTTTATTCTGGGTAGAGAAAAGATGTCTAGACTCCAAGTCAGGATGCAAAACAAAATGCTGGAAAATAGAACCTACCTGTCCAATATGTTTGGTCCAAGAAGGCATGCTGCGAATCACCTTTCTTCAGACAGTGAAGGGGTGGGGGCACCAAAGCAGGCCTTCTTGGACACAGCCACCTCCCTCCAGAAATCACGTTGGCACGCATCCTACTGTCATGTCAGAAGAACATTAAAACAGGGCTCTTCCAAAACCTTTGGTGAAGGGGATACCACTTCATTGGAAGCAGTGCTGAGTGTGGGCTGGTTCTTTGGGGTGAGACGTGTCAGGCTACTGTGAGTGTTTTTAAATTGTATTTTATTTGTTGTAACCTTGTTGTATTATATTTGTTAGCTTCCTAGAATCTAGAGTAAATAGGGCAGCATAAAGGCTGTGTAATCAAGCAAGCAAGTGACAATAACTGATTTCATTCAGTAGGAAGGAAAGATGATTTTTTAAATATATTTTTATCATTTTATCATTTCAGAGTCATTTTATCATTTCAGAGTCATTTAAAACTTTTAAAGATAATATTCTGTAAT